ATGGTCCCGAAAACAAACCTGGAGAAACGAGATCGCGTTGTTCAAGCTTGAGAGCTCGGACCCTCGCGATCCCTGTCTTTCAGGTACCGCGTCGTGTGAAAGGACTAGTACCATCTCGTCCTCTCAAAGCATCACTAGATTCACACACGATCTCCGTCACGTACATGCTTGACCTCAGCCCGGTGAGAAGAGGGTTTACATGCTCGATGGAAAGTTGGCACAGCAGGCGCATGGCCACGCCTTGCAGTTCAAAGATGAGCCAGATGCGAGCGGGTGCATGACCGAATGATATAAAACTTTGTATGCTAGGTAGTAGCGGCACGCAAACGACTATACACACGCTCAGCCTCTGCTATGCGGTGTATAACGATCTTGACTCTGCAATATGCGCTAGCAAACGACTGATGACATGGGCTCTTCAAAAGCGATGACTTCTCGAGATAATCTTGGAACACTGCCATTACTTCCTAGTGATACACTTCTCTGACAATATGGTCGAACGTCTGCCATATCCGCCAGGCTACAGCATTCCTCTCTTAGACCCGTGGAGACACAACGGTCCCGCCCAATACTTTCGAGGTCTTCCGCATCTGCGCAATGGATGGTATCATGACAATCGAAAACTACATGATGTGAAAAGTTCGAAAGCTTTCATCTGGCCGAAAGACGGTAGAAAGGGTACCAAGCTAGGACGCTTCAAAGACATTCTCCAAGGCAAAGGCCCCGACATTTTCGTCACCTGTGCGGCTGATCCGAAAGACTTCGTGGCCAAGCGTCCATCACGAGCTCAATGGACCAGGCACACCCACCTCGACGGCCCTCACCAGCCCGGCTTCAGTGCTTCGAAGTTTGCTCCCTGGACAGAAGGGGGGATGTTGTCCGGTGGGCGTTCACGGAAAGAGGCCTACGACTTCCGGACCAGAAAGTACGTGAAGCGATACCCTGGAATGTGGACGGATGCGCTCTGGCAATCAGAACCATACAAGAATAGGGACTACAATACGTTCCCCGAAGCTATTCGACACATGGACGGGATTTGGTGGCAGGATGCACAACATCTGCCATGGGAACTCGGGGGTCCAGTCGAGAACGATGTCGGGAGAAATTTGTATTTCCAATGAGACATCGTCCCCTGGAGAAGCCTGTTCAGATGCAGCCTTCGTGGAAAGCCTCCCACACGGTTTCGGGAGCATCAGTCGTTCCAGCGACCTGTTTACCCCGTCTCGCGGTGGGCGTCAACGCCGAGTCATCCAGAAGTTTCCCGCATTTAGCACACGACGTTCCTTTCACAGTCTTGTACGCAGCAATCATATCCTGTAATAATTAGCATCCACCTAAAACATTTCCATGCCACACAATCCCATGTACATACCAACAGATACTTCAAATCATCTGGATTTGACCGTGATGCAATACATCTTGTGATAGCTAAAAAGGGCTCCGTAGTCCCCAGACACTCTGCGTTGAGTTTGTGCCGTCCGTTCGTGTCGCGCTCGATGCCAACGCGGAATTTCAACATGACGGAGCCGGATACGAAGCGTGTCTGGATGCTGCGATCCTCATCATTTGTCTCCACCTTGAGATTCGGATGCGCCTTCCTGAACTCGACCACAATCCTCTCGATATCCTCGTCAGTGACGATAGCACCGGTATCCTCTTTATTGTCCCCTCCCTGATTTTTCGTCGACTCCTTCGCCTTCCGTGCTCTTTCCGTCCAGCCATGAGAAGGTATCGAGACGCTTTCCGACAAATCCGCATTTGCGCCGAGGCTCTGCTTGACGTGTTCGAACGTGCTCTGTAATTCTGGTGACTTCCACTGGCTCTTGAGGGAATCGAGGTTCTTCTGTGAACCGAGTACGCCGTCAGCGTAGAGTTTATACGTCGCGGAACTGCGAGGGCGGTGGAAGGGCTCGATGATGCGGGGGATGGCTAGGCGCATGTCGCTGATCTATCGCATATTAACATAACTTATCCAGAGAAGGTGGCATGCGATCCTCACCTGCGCCTGGAGCTGCTCCAGTTGCGCGAGTGCTGCTGTACATTGCGCCTCGTCCCAGCCAGCGCCGGGCTGCGCTGCAACGTCAGGAGCGCCCATGGAATAATATCAAGATATAATCAAAAAGTAAAAGCGATAATGCGAAGGCGATTCAAAGGCGGGGATATGTGAAATAATAAGCTGCGATAATGTGAATGGTCGAGGCGTGCTGCGATTGAAGTGGAAAGAGCGACCCGTGGTTCAAGGACGCTTGACGATCGGAAGGTTCACCGGGCGCTCCTTCCCCACTCGCCGAACGCGTCTACGCGTAGTCACGATGCGGACAATGGATGCCACATGGGCATACTTGATAGCGCAGAGCTGTGAATAATGGCACATATTGGAGGGATGGATATTCCAAACATGTTTTGACTTGGTTCAAAGACGGCATCTCGCTGTAAGGATCGATTGACCATATTTGAAGAAATGTGTTGCGCCTAGATATATATACAATACAATCACAAGCTCCTCTATAACTTGGACTTCTCCTTCACAACACTCTCTTGAGGGCCGATGAGCGGGTCGTAGACATTCATGCCCAAAGTGTCATGAGGCACGGTAGCAGTGTGCATGCTGAGCCCTCTTGTGTCGAGCATCGAAGGGTTCAGGTCCGCAATGCTTGAAGCGCCAATCAAGCGCATGTTCATCTCCATCTCATCCTTCAGTAGCTGCATAGCACGGTCGACACCTGGCAAACCGTATGCAGACATGGCGTAAAGGAAAGGCCTACCGATGCCTACACCCTTGGCGCCGAGTGCGACAGCCTTGATAATGTCTGTCGCACGTCGAATACCGCCATCGATGTACACTTCGATGCGATCTTGCCAGCCGCGTGCGCGAAGAACCGGCATAACCTCAGCGAGTACTTCGACACCCGAGCGAGCGAAATCGAGTTGACGACCACCGTGGTTGGAAAGGACAACACCATCACAGCCAACCTCGACAGCGCGAATAACATCCTCAACGCACTGTACACCCTTGAGAATGATTGGCATCTTGGTAATGCTCCTGAACCACGGGATATCTTTCCAGCTAAGGCTCGGGTCAATGAAGGACGAGATGGCTCGTGCGGCGCCTTGACTACGATCCACATTGTCGCCGCCGGTGCTCTGGACGTTGCTGCCGACATCGTCGAACTTGCTCCGCATGTCTTTCTCGCGACGACCGAGCTGCGGTGCGTCGACGGTAATGAAGAGACCCTTGCAGCCGCGCTTCTCGGCGTGCTGCACAATACGCTTTGTGACCTCCCTGTCCTTGTTTACGTATAGCTGCAGCCATTGGACCTGACCGTCTTTTGCTTCGTCCATGATCTCGTCGAACGAGCATGACGCTAGTGTTGGTATCATCTGGACAACGTTGTGCTTGTGTGCGCCGCGCGTAAGGACGACCTCTCCCTCCGGGTTACCGAGCTTGCCCAGCGCTGTCGCGGTGACATAGAAGGGGATGTCGACTTTGGTGCCGAGCATTGTGGTGGACATGTCGACCTTCTCGACGTCGATGAGTACGCGTGGTCGGAACCAGATCTTGTGGAATGCGCTGTGGTTTTCGCGTAGTGTCTGCCAAAAGTCAGCTCAAATAATGGCAGTCGGTGAGATAGTCCTACGATTTCATCGTCGGCACCACTGGAGTAGTATGCCCATGCTGTCTTCTTCATGACTTTGCGCGCAACAGCCTCAAAGTCCATCAGGTTGTAGCATTGCTCCAGGATTGGCATGCGCGCAATGCGCTCCTGCCTCGCTTCCTCATCAGGATCGATCTCCTTCGCTTCTTCCTTGACGGTGTTCATGTCCACCTCGCCCAAGTGCTTGGACTTGTCGAGATACTTGTCGAGCGTGTCGGGCGGGTGGATTGGCTCAAATGCCTCAGTGCCATCCTTGCCAGCATACTTTAGGACAATCTTCTGGCCTCCGGGATGCTCAGGCAGAAACTCGGTGACATCGTAGGCGCGGCCGTGGATGATGACCCAGCATGATTCGGCGTTGTTGTGCTGGGCGACCTGCTCGCCGGTGAGCTTCACTTTCTGGGTGTTGTTGCTGTCGTGGTTCATCGTGGCGGCGGTGTGTCGAGCGCGAAATGTTGAAGGGCAGGTAATCAAGACGCGAAGATAGGCCAGAAAATATATGGAGCCGATCTAGGTTATTTCCAGACACTAGAGGGCTTGGACGAGCGGAAGGGCCAGGTTGGTGACGGCAGCATGGTTGGGGTAATAGCTCGGTACATTCATCCCCGCGGCCTTCGGATGCTGGTCGCGGAGACGCATCTGAGTTAGCACCCTAGCCCATGAGCTCGAGGCGAGATCGATTCCGGGCTTGTCGCATTAGGCATCCCGTCTCGGTCCTTCGCAGGCGGTTTTCTTGAGGATATATGTGTCGGCCAGGGACTGTCGTTCGTCGAGGGAGCTTAGTTGGGGTAGGTATTAACGTTCTCGTCGGTCGCGTGGAAGACTCCGTGCTGCTCCGAAACGCGGGGAAGAGACAGCTGGCTGGGCATGACGTGCATTGTTGACTGCCCGACACACAGCATCAACATGGCGCGTCATCCCCTGGATGATTATCAGTTCCCAGGGCTGCGATCACGATGGGCATTCATATTCCCATCTGGGACGCACCCTTCTCATATCTGATTCACATTGGCTTAAGGCGCCTGTCACATGGCTCCCCTAGCCAAGAGAATCGGTGCAAGCGCCAAACGCAGCTGGGCTGTCATTCGGGCACTCACCTCCTGCCTAATATTCTCAGATACCCTCTACGTCAATCCTCTGCCTCTTCTCACATCTGCCGGCGACTCTTTCTCACTGCTCGCCATGCAACTTGTTCTCCCGCCGCCTCCCACGCATTTCCTTTCTTTCTTGCTCCGAGGCACCGCGACCGCGCATATCTGAGCCGACCCCACAACACCGCCTGCCGCCCCATCCCTGCACCGCCAACACCGACGTATACAAATAGATTTGGCGTAATACGGCGACATGTCCAACAGCCTAGAAGCAAAGATCGTGGTCCTCGGTAGCCAAGGAGTTGGAAAAACTTCTCTCGTCCACCGATATGTCAAGAACGCTTTTACACCTCCCACAACACAGTCCACCGTGGGTGCTTCCTTCTTGACAAAGAGGGTTGTGGATATCGACACCTCCACAGTGGTTCGATTACAGATATGGGATACCGCAGGCCAGGAGCGCTTCCGGTCCATATCTAAGCTGTATTATAGGGGTACGTCAGTATCGTCCCTTTCGTCAGACCAACTGATATTTTCTGTCGCGATACACATCGGGCCTCTTTCCGCTATCTGGATACCCCACATTCGGCAGCCGAGTTCGGATCGTCTACTATCAGCAAACCTTCAGCGCAGAACTAATGTTTTCTTCTAGGCGCAAATGCTGCAGTACTATGTTACGACATCACCGATCCATATTCGTTCGAGGAGATGGGCCGCTGGTTCAAGGAACTCAAGACAAACCTTGGAGAGGACGTGATCCTCCATGTGGTAGGAACGAAGTCAGACGTCGTAGCCGAAGACCCTACCAAGCGAAAAGTGCCCTTTGAGCGCTGCATCGCATACGTCGCCGAGAACCTCCACCCCACACAGAACGGACAACCACACAGTGCTGCAGCAAGCGGTTGGGGCTCTGTACCGGCAGCCTTCCACAGCGGTATGGCGTCGCCACAGAGCAACCGATCGAGCGGCTTCTGGGGACAAGACCTGGGTTGGGACTGTTGCCACGAGATCAGCGCCAAAGATGGCGAGGGTGTAGACGAAGTCTTTCGCGTCATCACCCGCAAGCTCGTGGAACAGCAGCAGAAGAAGCTCGAGGAAGAACAACGGCAGTACGCCATGGCTGGTGTCACACCTGCCATGGATAACAACGGCAATGTCGCTGGATACTTCGATTACCCTGGAACGGGTAATGGAAGCTTCCGCTTAGGCACCGGCGACAAGAGGCGAAGCTGGCTGGGCTTCCCTACTACCCCCAACGTCGCTGGACACCAGCAAGATTGGGAAGAAGATATCAACCGGGCGCAGAAGAGCAAGAGTGGCAGGTGTTGTTAACATCATCACCCACTTGGCTCATTGTCATATGTGTACGCTTGTTCGTACCTTCCATCATCACTTTTCTTTCTCAGCGGGGTGTCATCACGACTAGATTCGTTTGAGGACACCCACTCGCGTTTTCCTAGCTCTCTTTATGACGCGTCCCATCTCACGGCCATGCATATTGTCGTTCCTCGATTGCATCTCGGAGGCTTAATTTGTTGTTTCCTGTCTGTCTTTTGTAGCGAAGCGTTCGAGCGATTTGTTGTGTATTGCATTTACAGCGGTCATGAGCGTGTTCTTTCTTTGGTTCCTATCGCGTTGTCTAATGTACCTTCTGGTGGAAGGTATGTTGGCTAGATGACGTCTCCGGCGTTGCCTGCAAGACGCAATAGTTGCAATACTTGCTTCAGACGAATTCGAAATCACCCAGTAATAACCACTTATACATTCTAAGCATCCTGTTGACTGCATTCTGATCTGCTGACACAATATTCGATAGGTCGTTGAAGATAACATAATTTCGTAGCAGTCATCCTTGCAGGACGATGCATCGTATTCCAATTTCTCATGCACAGTCTGCGCGGAGCCAGTAAGCGCCCCTCGACTATTCTTGCAGCCTGGTCGGTGGCTTACAGTATAACGTCACCGCTTACGTTTAAGGGACCTGCTTGTCCTTCGTCGTTGTCCATTGTTTACACACGCCGTTCCTACTTCCCGACTATCCACAAGTTCAACGTTTCCTCGGTCCAATCAAAATGGCGCTGGCTAACGCAGATTCGTATGATATGCAGACTTTGGCAATGGAACCTCCCAATACAAGTCCCGTTTCTTGGGTCACTGTAGATCTGGAAGCTGGTATTCAAGCAGATGATAGCCCGCCGTCGGCACTCAGTCCGCAATATCGTGGGCAGAGCCACACAAGTAATATACATGCTTCTCATAGATATGCTAAACCCGACGTAATATGGCTTCTAACTACGATCAACAGCACCGATAGGACGCTTGAAGGGCCGGATAGTAAACTACCGTAAGAGGCTTAGTCAACGCAGGAAGCCTTCTGATATCGAAGACCCGCTCGCACCGTACCCGATATCCAGTAAGTTGCAACTCGATCCTAGTACTGAGCCTTGTAAGATTGACCAATACAGTGGACGACTTCCCTAGAGGATATCCAAGCCTGGCAGCGTTTCAATCCAGTAAACCGGATTTCTCCATCTACCGAGCTTTCAACTATCTCCACTCGCGTGTTATATTGGAGCTACAAGATCAACTCTGTGTGCATGAAGACGACCTTGCACTATTGGATGAATTCGATGCGATGTCTGAAGATCAGCAGCAAAGAAATCGAGTCAGTTCCCGCCGTGCGGACGCAGACGCAGCTCGCCTAGAGCACCAAAATCGTGAGGACCTCACAGACATCGGCCGGTCTGTCAATGCAGGAGAAACCCAGATTGGGGTTCAACCTGGCGATATACCTAGCAATAAAACAATGTGCCAATCCAGTCTCAGCGAACGCGCCAGCCTGCTTGCAGAGATCCACAGAAAACTCGTGCAATACGACGACATTCTGACCAAATCACGCGAGCTTGCCGAATTCCAGCGACCAAGCGAACGCGAACGTAGCTACCTCTGCTTTTGGGACTGGAACACTAAGCCTTTGCCAGACGAGGAGCAGAAGTTCATGACGATGCGAGACGATCTCGTCATCTTGAAGCCGAGGCGTGATTCTAGTAATATCGACGAATGGATCGAGAGAATCATGGATAAGATGCCCGTACGTGCCGTTGCTGTAAGTATCACGACAAGTATAGATGTCGGAAAAATGGCTGACGACCTCGTACAAGTACTTTGTCAAAACCGGAACGGACCGTGAACGACGGGGGGAACCACGGTTCTACCACATCACCCGAATCCAGCGCCTTGCCGTCCTCATAATCGTCACAGTCATCATCCTCCTCCTGGCTGCACCTGTCTTCATCATGTATCGTGTAACATGGGACAGCAGTCGCTCCAGCACGTTCCTCAACATAGGGCTCATGATCGTCTTTTCGCTGTTGTTCTCCGCATCGATGGGTCTTCTTACCAAGGCCAAGCGAGCCGAGCTTTTCGCTGCGACTGCAGCATACTGTGCTGTTCTGATTGTGTTTATTGGGAACTTCAGTAGTAACGCGACGTAGGAGAGGAGATAGCGACTGATGTGGGATGTATGATATCGTCGTGCCAATGGAGATATTCGCGCGACAGTGATGTGACTGTTCACAGCCTTCTACAGATTTCCTTGTCTGGATACAAATCTAGCTCAAGTTTCAACACCCGACAAACGTCACACCACTCCCGCGGTCATTGTTTGTTTAGCCTTTCGATCACCAAACTCCTTCAACAGTTGTTCAACAGTCATATCATGGCTACCCGAGGGCGGCAAGAGAACAGTCTCTGCAAGTGCTCGGGCCGTCTCGACAGGACTCAGGCTAACTTCCCTTTTCAGATGCCAGTAGCCCCAGAGTAGACTCATCGAAGCAAGTAAGCCAACTAGCATAGAGCCAATGGCGATCCAAAACGCCAAGTACTCTGCTTTGTACACTAAACCACTGCCTGTGTACGTCCACGTCAACGCAGGGCCTGTCTCGTTATCTGTATACCCCTGTCAGATTTCCATATTGTGAAGGAAGGGTGAGACGACCTTATGGGGCCTTTCAGTACTTACCAGAGGCAGATGCATACGCCATTCTAAACATTACCTCGTGGAGACCCCAGATCAAGTCGTCCGTGGCGTTGTCCCACCGAAAGGCGCATGAGTTGTTGTAAGCGTCCTCAGAGGAGAGAAAATTGGCATAATGTCGCGATGGAACGCCTGATGGTTCCCAAGAGAATTCGCCCCCTGGAGTGTCTGGCTCTTCAGCTTCGTCGCAGAGCTCTTTGCCTGCCTCCGTGGCTCCATCACCAAGGACACCCGCTTCACCTGCAGTTCCAACGCGCGCAGTCGCTTTCTAGGGGTAGCACGATCGATGTCTTCGAGCTTGGCGCATTTAGTGATCTGCTGATATCTCATCTGTCTTGTGTCGATATCGCTTGAGTAGTGCGGAAGGATGAAGAGAGCTGAGAGGTACGATCTGAGAGTTTTCGGTTTGTCTACGTAGCTACATTCTTAGGCTGATATTAATCTTCTGTTGATATTAACATGCTTTTCGTGAACTATTGGCGTTGTGATTGACTTAGACTGCTCCCTTCCTGAAACCAGCAGTCCTTTTCTAGATTCTTTTTTGTCTCCAACCAAGCAAGCTCTTGGTGTATCACATCTAGCGCTAGCATCCTTCTCATTGTATCTCTCAGCCCTCACGTAGGGAACTAGAGGCCCTTGAACCTCCCAAGCGAGTCGGTTTCTTCAAAAGATACGTAGTGATAATGCATGCACTTGTTGGCGAAGGCCGATTGATCATTTGAGTTTTGCTCTGATCGTTGAAAGAGAACGTAACAGGACGCCAGTACGGCTGAGCAGCGTTGTCTGGGCATTTGGGCCGTCGTGTTGCTAGAGATCCGGTCCCCGGCTTGTCAATTCGGTAGTGCGCGGAAAGCGTGAGGAGGAAAGGCGGAGAACAGGCCGCCATCGGGTGGGTCTTGGCATTGGCACATTGGTGATGTCATCTTGTCAGCTGGAAGCACCGGGAGCTTCTTCTTCCTGAACATCACAACTAAAGTCTGACAGTTTACCACACATACACGGCATTACAGCAGATTACGATGGAGACCAACGTTACTCCAGAATACTGTACAAGTCAGTGATGAGTGGCATCTTTCCAGGGCACCCACGGCGCTGCAGCCAAGAGTACCCAGGAAGTTTACTAAACTTCTCCGCTGCGGACACCAACGTCAACATCAATCGAGACCCGAAGGTCTATTTCAATTCTCTGGGGAAACGATAGCGCCTTACGATTACGTTTGGTCGACATTAAGGCCAACGCGAGCTAGCGCCTTGGGCATGTAGTCCTTTTCTGTCAGCACAGCCACGCGGGTAGGTAGATCATGGCTCAAAAAGGAAGACTTGGTGAAGGAGTAAGCCCGATCAGGAGCTGGGGTAAGACTACGGATCTTACTCTACCCGCACCAAGATAGCTAGGCGATATCTTGGGGGCGATCGTGGGCTTGATGGATGCAAGCTCGCCTTGCAAAAGTATGGGATCTTCCGTTACCAAGACGGTGGACGGCGTCTTCTACGGCTCGTTCGAGCGCTGTGCTCATTGGGCGCACATGCTAGGGTTTTAATGGGCTCAACTCTCATTGGCCAGATTCATGCAGACGGCAGCCTCGCATCGGGGTTCACTCCTTCCGTCTGGTAACTTGTCAGCAAAATGGAGATACCAAGACTACTACCCATACCGCGGGTCACGCCTTACATCGCATGTACGGGCTCGGCCATGGCGGAAATGATCTCAAATCATACTGTTGACTTGGCAAAACTCACGTTGAAGATTTCACCAAGACACCAGTGTCCATCTCCAAGAGTCTTTACCACCGATCCATGCTTGCAGTGCGTCGTCCACCGATGTCATCGGACCAGGGTAGAAGGGAAATGAAGTTGAGCTCTGATGGTGAAGTGGAGAGCCGGATGTGTATAAAGGACCGCACAGGATAGCTTCATTCATTTCTCATCAGCATCTCACATCCTCCTCTCTACATCCACATACTATTCTACAGCTTCCGCTACTCACACAACATCCAACATGCATTTCACCACCCCTGCCCTCCTCGCTCTCATCTCCGCTCCCCTTGCCTTCGCCGCTCCCACTGCCGGCAAGCACGACTACAAGACCGACTGCAAGAAGGACTTGGAGGCCAAATGGAACGCTAAGGACAACGGCTGGAAGAAGAACGAGAAGCTCTTCTACTTCGACGCCGAATACGTTGTCAAGGCCACACCCGACCAGGTCATCGCCAACACGGGCGCACCTGCTCCCGGTCAGCCCGGCGCCAAGGGCCTCTTCAAATACGGCATCAACATCGCTGAGAACACCATCTGCTACAACATCACCCTAAGCGGTGTAACTGGAGACTACCAGTCCCCTGCGCTCACTGCGACTCACATCCACGAGGCTGTCAAGGGCAAGGCTGGACCACCCAGACTTGTAAGTTTACCTCCTTTTCCTCTTGCATTCTGCATACTTGAGACGATTACTAACACACATCTCACAGGCCTTCCCCAACCCCACCGGCCCTGATGAGCGCCGTACTTCCGTTGGCTGCCTCAAGGGTCCCTTCACCGTTGGCGTCATCAACCCGACTACCCAGAAAGACCAGGCTGATGGCTTCCACGTCAAGCAGATTGTAGCCAACCCCAAGGGCTTCTTCACTGATTCGCACACTGCGCAGTTTGTTGCTGGTGCTGTTAGGGGTCAGCTTGGATACTAAGCCTTCCTCGGGACAGTAATAGGGGGAAGAAGTAATTGTTGAGGATAATACCTAATATTTTGGTAGTTTCTAATGTTTAAGAAATGAACGCGTTATCTTTACAGAGATTTCATGATGTGACTTTTCCGTGGTGGTTTATGTGCTTGAGGTTTGCAAAGGGTCTTGATCGCAACTTCGGTAGTTGTGTACCATGGTTAGCATGTCACAATACCTGAATAATTCGTAGGCAGCAGCGCAATCAAGAGAGACTGGAAATTTGTGCAAAGTCACACTCTGAAACAGATCTTTTCGTCGCCTATCGCTCATACGTACAAAAGGCTACTTCTAGGAAGTGTTTCCCACTCCTTACCTTATCCTTCACCAACGTTATCAGTGAGTACTTCACCTCTGATCTTAGGCATTACTGACTCACAAGAATCCGCTCAACGTTTCAACACCAAAGAAATGCAACCTTGGAACATGCCTATTCTGACCATCCTGGCTATACGCAACCATGGCCGGAGACTTATAGAAGAGCAACAGAAGTTAATTGAAGAGATCAAAGAAATTAAAGAGCAATCTCGCGCTCTAACTCGACAAAGTGAAGAGTTGAAGGATATTTCACGACAAGTCCGTGTGCTGGAGATCCGATACGGCATAAAGAAGTGTTAAAGATGGGTTCGGTCGGATATGGCTCGTGGCTACACTCTCCCCTCTCGGAATGATTCCGGAACATCTACTGTGGTGAAGTAATCACTCCTCCACATTGGTACCATTCAACTCAACCCAGACTGTACATAGAAATGATACCCATCTCAACTTGATCTGGTTATATTTGTGTCTTTCGGCTCTTACTTGATGTCCAAAAGTTCACGCTCGTATCCCGTGGTGAAGGTGAACAAGGTGTCCAAGCGCACTTTCCCTTCTGGGCCATGCTCTCGCGTTTGCTACCACTAGCGCGTCTCGTCTCTCACCACTTACCACTACCGAACTACTCACACAACCAGTCTATCAATCGTCTCCTCAGCCGACTCGGCGACCATGGCGCTCCTGTACCTAGTCTCGAATGGCGAGGTAACAGCGATCTCACCACCTACCGCCGATCTTCCCAGCGCACTCAGTATGCTCACGATCCAGGACCCTTCGATTCCGATGCCCGGCAAATGCCATATCGACAGATGCGCCGTCGAGATCCTGATACAAGTTGCGGAGAGTCTGGACTACCAGAGCCTGTGCTCCTTGGCGCGCGTCTCTAAGCGCTACCCGGAAGCCGCACAGGATGCACTCTACCGCTTCGTCGATCTTCGTCCAGCCGAAGAAGATCTGGAAGCAGTGTACGTGTACAACGATTGTCCCAACAAGTCTGCTATTGCCATGTTTCTCCGGACTATCCAACAGAAGCCTCATCTGGCGACCAAGGTCAGAGACTTATGGTTTATGCCACAGTCGAAACCGGTCTTATACCCGGAACTGTTCTACGTCACTGCACCGTTCGTCCCTCAAAGTATGAGGTTCGGAGTTCGTAGGTACAAAGTCGAAGAGAAGAAGCTAGCGTGCAAACTTCTCAGCTGCCTCACCGAGTTACGGTCTTTGACCATCACCGCTCTGGACGAATATATCTGCCACTGTGAGTTCGGCCTTTACGATATCTCAAACAGCAGACGCGACAAGGGTGTCTTTGAACGGCTCCCGATGCGTCTGGAAAAGCTTACGAACCTACCCTGCTTTTGGAAGCTTACATCTATACATGTTTCTCATGGCAAGCTGGACTGGGCGATCGCTACATTACCTACACTGCACACCCTATGCATAGGTACTGGGGCAGACGTAAAGGTGCCGTCACCTTACGCCGAAGCCGCCAATATCACAACTCTCATCATCGAAGTCGAAGATGGAACTCACGAAAACTGCTTCCTGGAAGCGATAAATATCCTCGATCATCTCCCAAATGTCCATACATTGACTTTGGGTTCTTATCTGTCGAAAGGGGGTGATCACAGATTTCCTCGGAGTGGTAAAGACTACTTTGGCGGTACCGACTTAGGGAACACGGGGTCATTCCCCTTCCACATCGTGCAGACATTACTCGATCACGGACGCTCGGTTGAGAATCTGATATTCACGTACTCAGAGCCTGTGCGTTTCGGAGACACTACGACTGTTCGCTTGGACGTTCGTGAGTTCGAACAGCTACGGCGAATACAGATTGCTGAGTGTCGCCTGGTGGATAGTCATGACCTCCAGCGCCACACTGGGCCCGGTCCATCTCAGCTGCTACCTCGTCGCATTCGAAATCTAGGCATCACCCATCCTAGGTCTCCAAGGCCGGAGGATGGGGACCGCAAGTCAAAGCTCACGAGCTGGCTAGGAGAGCTGACCAAGACCGACTTTCCAGACCTGCGACAAGTTGAGGTTGTGTGTTCGGTCGGATATGGAGATGATATAGGGTTCAAACAGCGTCTTGAGCAGTCTGCAGAAGTTCGCTTCCTCGAGACTATCGGTGTGGCAGTGGTGATAAGGAAGGAGTGATCGACAGTAGGGTGCGTGCCGGCATTCAGTCGCTAGTCGAGCGTCGGACATAGCCATCTTCGAGATGGCACTAAGAGACACCTAAGAAGTACTCGCTGGAAGTCTGATCGAACGACTTGCATCGTGTTAGGTAGCATACACCTTCCTCCAAGGTGCATCGAGCCAGGCATTAACAGAATAACGAGATTCTACTCACACAACGCCCATCGTGCGCGTCTTCTGTTAAGTGCCTATCCTATTCTCGTCGTTGATATGCGCGACCTATGATCGAACACGTGCGTCAGGTACGGAGATGATGGATGTCTGACGCGGTGCCACCTGACGATAGTGTCAACGTGGCGATGTCGTTGTTAGCAGCTGCGGCGCAAGGCGACCCCGTTTCAGGTTGCCTCATCAGTCGTATCCGCAAGGCATCAGTATTGATTATCTTACTCAGCTGCGAATCTCCCCCTCGCGCATTCCTCCTCAACCTCCCTTGTTTGCACCTCCACCCATCATCTCATTTCGACTCATCGCGCAGTCTTGCATCACGCGTGTGCGCACGATCCCTTTGTGCGAGCGGCCAAACAACGCGGCACCCTTCGGAGTTGTCGTCTGACCGATCAGAACGCTTCGGCGATTGGATAGTGCCGTATACGAAGGCAGGACTATTGTTTCAGCATCGCGCGATACCCGTAGTCCCGCGCTGTTTCCGTTGTGTGAGGGAAGCTGGACAGCGCCCCTGGCACCATCGTGTTCCTCGCATCGCACGTATTCCGCTAGCGTGCTAGGCACGCTCAATTACACGGCACCCCACACTTTACCATGAGCATCGTCATGGCATCCGCATCGATAAAGACGAGCGAGCTGTCGCGCTGGCAGCCATGGCTTGCAGAATACAATATCGCTGGTTTTGAGCTAAAGGAATGGATCACCTTGCTCGCATTGTTACTCCCTCTACTATGCGTCGTCGCTTTCAGAAAGTACCGCAAGATGCAATACCAGAACAAGAAGCCGTTCCGATTCCTGGACCTACCACAAGAGCTGCGGGATATAGTGTACGAACATTTCCTTGACGACCCCATCTACCCGCCACCAGCGCGCAATGAAATCCAGCGCTCAACGCTGAACTGGATGCGACCCGCACGCTGGACATCCACATCCACATCACCGCCTGTGCGACACGAGAGTAAATGGATATTCCTAGCGAACAAGCAAGTGTACTCCGAATACATGGACATGATCTGCAAGCGCAAGACCTTCCACTTCAGCGTCACGCCCCAGACATACAAGCCCGCCACCAGCACCCCTCCATCTGCATTCCCAGCGCCATCGACACAGGACAACCGAGTATGGAACATTTCCCCCGACCTGCTCTCCAAAGTGCAAAACTGCTCTCTCAAGCTCGTCACAACATCCTCCATGCTCGGCGTCACAGACCCGCGCTCCATGACATCCTCATCCTGGACGCTCGGCCGCCGCATGCGCGAGCAACTCAAACACATGTCCAACGTCAAGACCTTTACTCTCGACGCCAAAGCCCTCGGTGATCCCCTCTGGAATCCGCTTTGGATCTGGTACCACGCTTCCCAGTCACTCAAGATGCTCGGCACGGAGTACTCTGACACCGTGCCGCGGGGGCCACAGCTCACTGGCATAACATTCAGTTTGGATACGTGGAGCCCGGGCGAGAACTACTTGAGGAGGGATGAGGCGAGTGGTGGGCAGTGGGTGTGGTATTGCATGAAGAACCATCTTATTGGGACGGATATGGGTGCTGACATGACGGTGAGGGAGTTTTGCGCAAAGTTGTATCAGGAGTGCAGTATCTGTAGAGTGGATGAGGAAGGGGATACGACTGTGATTTGAGATGTTGTGCTGGGCTGGCCCGGGCGGTGTTTGTGCGATGACTTCTTCATTGTATTGATAGCTCTGGCGTTTGTTTGTAGCTTTTTCCTGCGTACCGCATGCGCATGATTGTATTCCTAGCAGTATTCTTATATCAATCCGCAGAGGCCGTTCTCGGCTTTTACTTCTTCTGCTCCTCCATCATCTCCTTCGCAGGCAGTGTCGCATACCGCGCCATGACCTCGATGTTCTTCTCCTTCATCATCTTCTCATCCGTCTTACTTATCTCAGCCAGGGTCTTGAAGTAGTCGATGTAAAATGCGGGGGTATAAGTGTTGAAGAACTTGGACTCTTCGTTTGTAGGGTTCGAGAAGGTGTGGGGTGCGCGGATGGGTACGGTAACGTAGTCGCCGACGTAGGCATCTTGGATGGCGCCGTCAGGTGCGTGGAACTGTGAGGAGAGTTAGCTGTCTTATCTGCTAGACTAGGATGGAATAAAAGGAAAGATAGAGCATACCCGGACCATTCCCTTTGTTACAAGAAACGTCTCGTCGTGCATCTCATGCCAGTGTGCTGGTGGCCCAGGTGTGTTTGGAGGCAGTGTGAATTCTGCAGAGCCTATGCGATTGTCTGTTCGCGATCCATCTTCCATGACTCTGCAAGTAATTTGGCCTAGTTTGAGTATTTCGCCTTGCTTTGCGGAAACAAAGTTGATGGGTCGGCGTGGCATCTTCATGCTTGCCATTGCTTGTCGGGCTTCGTCGTCCATGATGAGCTCGAAAGTGGGAGTCTGGTGTGTTGAGGTAGATTTGAGTGTCTTTCTCGCTGGTTCTTCAGGTAAAGGTAGGCTTAGAAACGCCGAGAATCTCTAGGTCAGTCATATAAATAAGTGCGTTGGATGAAGAGGCTCAAATGTAAGCGCTGGACTTCACTACTGCGGAGAGCCGGCGGATGCAACATGTATCCCCTACAGCTTGCTCGGATGTCCGCGCCAATAGATGACTGCGGCAGAACATCGTTCAACTATAGGAATACATCACGTACCCACAAGGCAGTTTCATACGTAAAGTTTGTGAGATGATGCGTTGTCTGAACTTCGATGGGATGCTGCCACCGCGGGGATTGAATGATGCCCCGCCAGCCGCGCCTAACTCAGGGTTAGCGCGGGGCCTTTCCCGATTTGGCGGGCCTGATCCTTCCCCACCTTTGTCCGCCCTGTACGCCCTTCCACTTACCTGCAGCGTACCTGCATGGCTGCCTGTCACTGAATGCCGTTGTGACGCGTCTGATCGCTGCCTGGGAAGCAGCATATTCATCAAGGCTAACCTGTCCACACCTGAAGTCTACTAAACACCAGCCAGCTCAACTCAACCCCCAGCATCTCTGAACAACCACAACTTCCTTCAAAATGTCGCAAGAGATTCCGCAAAGAATGCCGAAGAAGATGTGGAACGTCCTTGAGAACAACCCAGAGGTTATGAACCATCTGGCTGGAGACCTCGGTCTGGACACGACAGCGCTCTCTTTCTACGACATCTACTCACTCACTGACTCCGACATGTTGAGCTTTATCCCGCGACCAACGGTAGCACTACTTGTCATCATACCTCTGACACCTACCTGGAACGAGGCCCGAACAACAGAAGACAAGGACAAGACCGAGTATGAGGGTAAAGGCGACGCCGAACCCGTCATATGGTTCAAGCAGACCATAGGAAACGCTTGCGGCAGCATAGGCCTTGTGCACTGTCTACTCAACAGCGACGCTGCACAGCACATCCAGCCCTCGTCAACCTTAGCCAAGATCCGCGAAGACGCGCTACCAAAGCCCATCTGGGAGCGCGCGAGAGTGCTCGAAGACTCCGACGCGTTCGAGAAGGCTCACGCAGACGCCGTGAAACTGGGAGATTCTGCCCCGCCTGCAGAGATCGAGGAGGCGCACACCGGTCAGCATTTCGTGGCGTTTGTCAAGGCGAAAGATGGGCACCTGTGGGAACTTGAAGGCGGTCGCATGGGTCCGCTTGATCGGGGTGTGTTGGGGGAGGACGAGGATGTGCTTAGTCCGGCTGCGTTGGAGAAGGGTATCGGGAGGTTGATGAGGATCGAGTCTGAGAAAGGGGGAGATCTGAGGTTTTCTGCGATTGCGCTGGCTCCGGCGATGAAGTGAAGGTGTCGCATCTGGTCCATCTGGTACGACAATCGAACTCCGCACGTGGGTTTTTCCTTTATACTACTGCAACACATCTCTTAACCAAGGCATGTGTGCTCTTTCAATCACACGCCTTACACGAGCATATTCATGATGCAAAAGATGTGTCTTCATTGCGTATTCCCATTTCCCATCTACTAAAAGTGTGAGCATACTCAGTCTTCGTACCCCGCTTCACTCATAAACGGACTCTTCCCACGTATGCTCTTCCCAAACCTCAACAGAATCAACGGAATGAAACTCAACGCCAACGCGATGAAGCCCAAAAGACTACTCGCCCAATCAAAGCCCAGCGTACGATACATACTCTGCGTCGCAAGCGGCAAGAAAGCCGCCATAAAGTTCTCCAGAAACGCAATGCCCGCGATAGCACTCGCAGCATACTTCGCATACGCATCAACCACATACGTCGTTACTCCCGCTGTACTGCAAAACATACCGAAGCCCACGAAAGCGAGCGATATACTGGGTATGATCCACGGTATGGAGGAATAGGACGTCCATGCGAAGTAGAACAGTCCACCGCTCAGACCGATGAAGGAAGCTGGGATGCTGAGATAAAGTCGCGCTTCTGGGATCGGCTGCCCCGGAGTTTCAGTGTTGCGTTTCGCAGATGCGAAATAGATGCGGTCTTGGATTAGAGATGCGATGAGACCGATGAGCTCCCCGATTACGACGGCGGACTGCACGAGGCCTGTGCCGAAGAATGTCCAGCCGTACAGCTCTGAGAAGACTTGTACGATGGACTGCGTGAACATGAAAGCTGTGCCGATGCAGAAAGCGCTCCATAACCCAAAGGAAAGGACCACACCTTCGGTGCATAGCATGCGCGTTGGTCGAACGAGCGTCTCTTTGAGAATCTCGCCAAGACTTGTGTGCTCTCTCTCAGCCTGAGCATACACCTCTTTCCCCGTATTAGCGCGAATATGACGTGCACGCTGAGTGAGAATAACATCCGGTCGAA